GGGGGGCATGTATTTTGACAAAGTGTTAAAAGTCCAATATGCATGTTGAATATTAATAAAATTACCTAGTTGTCTGTTCTCATGACAAGAAACAATGACCTGTCAGCACTTCTCTTTGATTTTAAAGTGTGAAATGATTTATTTTAGAGTTTGAAACACTTGATTAGTTAGTTCTTTTGTTTGAGTGCTTCAATCGCTATCTCTACCTTTACTATCTTACAAGAGATTATTTGCTTTTTCGGCGGGGGGCTGGAACATATATGCTATTATGAATCTACTGATACTAAATTACTAATTGCCAAGTGCAGTAAATTCTAACAAGGATTATGTTTTTGTTCTGATTCGTCCAAGTACATGGACTTATATTTATCATATTTTCATCGGCTTTTCTATCCTTTTTCATCTAGCACTGGTGGTCCTTGTGGTACCTTTCTTCATTTAACACTTTACTTTTGCGTTAAGCACTAGCATACTACCATGACAAGATGTTCTTTCTTATAGGGAATCATTTGCTAGAGGTATGTGATGAACATGTCAGTTCCTCCATGTGCTTGTGTATAGACTGGAACCCATCAGCTACATCCCTCGCTGTGGGGCTTTCGGATGGGTCAGTCTCAATAATTTCACTCCTTGAGTCTCAACTAAGCATTTCCAGNGAGACTGGAAAGCACATGACTTTGAACTTTGGGCTGCCTCTTTTGATATCCACCAACCACAGCTGGTGTACACAGGGTCAGATGACTGCAAATTTAATTGCTGGGATTTGCGAGATGATCCATCTAACTTGGCATTCCAAAATAGAAAGGTTCACACAATGGGGATTTGCTGCATTACTAAGAGTCCAAGTGATCCTTACACGTTACTCACTGGTTGCTATGATGAACACCTAAGGGTATGGGATGTAAGATCAATCTCAAAACCTGTACACGAGACATCAATCTCCTTAGGTGGAGGAGTTTGGAGAATTAAGTACCATCCTTTTGTACCTGACCTAGTCTTGACAGCTTGTATGCACAATGGATTTGCAGTTGTTAAAGTTAAAGGGAATACAGCTGAAGTAATTGAAACCTACAATAAACATGGTTCCCTGGCATATGGAGCTGATTGGCAAAGAGGTTGTTTAGGGAGGAACGGTAGGGATAAGAACAATGTCATTGCTACTTGCTCATTTTATGACCAGCTCCTTCGTGTGTGGATGCCAGAAGGCGATATTGCTGAATGACCCTGTGTTGTAGATTATGCTTTACAGGAAACAACAGAAAACACAGTCAATTTCTTGAGGTGTTTGACCTGTGTCCACTGTATTATGGAATTTCAAATTGTATTTCTGTGTTTGGTGACTAATATTTATGGCTCTGTTTCCACAATTTACAGCAATGTAAAGCAGAGAGCTATGCTAAAGTGGATCAATAGCTTCTCTGGCCTCTCCATCACTCTGCTCGTGGAATACCTAATCCTCTTTAAATTCTCAAATCTATCAGTTTCTTGTTAACCAGCATTTCATTAAATGTTATTATTGCTCGTAGCAAAAATTAAACGACAACACGATTGTTGTGCTCATATGCAGTTCTTTATTTTAAAATTTTCTTAGGTGCCTCAATGAAGTTGATGAGCCACTCACCTCTCCAGGTATATCTTTCTTCGAAATATCATCTTTGTTCCTTCCCAGCAGCAGTTGACATTCTGGAAGGAAAAATTACTCAAGAGGCAGGGATGTAGAATAAAAGGATCTGAAGATAAACAAACTAGTAATTAGTTTTGGTCTTTCTTTTAGCTTCCTGTAAAAAATTGAAAGAAGTTTGCTCCCATAACGTGAGTTTATTTCATTTAAATTATAATACATTTCTATAAGAAGTACATAGACGTGTTTCGATTTGTTCCTTCACCATAGTTTAATAGACAAACGAACAAAATATATAAAATAGGATAATTATTAACACAAACTCATCAGATCCATTGTTGATGCATAGTGAAATGCAGCTTAAGATGGCTAGAGTTCCAAACGGCTTATGTTATGGATTATTTATAGTTTGGGATGAGAATATACATTTGCTTACCAGAGTCACCATTTCGAAGCTAAATTGGATTAGCCACTCAAGCTGCAATCTACTCATATCAAAATAACTAAAGACTTCATTTGGAACTGTTAATCTATGTCACATAAATTTACTCTCTTGTCTTCAGTCAGAAGACTCATAACCCAACAAGTGTGATACTTCATGTTCTATCCAAAATTTTGTTCTATCCAACTTTTCTTCTCCAAGAGAACAAAGAGGCAGAAACTCGGTAATGAGTCTGAAGTTTGCACTACCGCACGCAAACTTCAGACAAAACAAAATAAGTCTGAAAGTCTACACTATCGAACACAGCCCTATAAATATGAAGTTTGCACTACAACATACAAAACTTCAGGTAAAATAAGTCTGAAAGTTTGCACTATTGCACACTAACTTCAGATAAAACAAAATAAGTCTGAAGTTTGTACTATTGCACATAAAATTCAGACAAAATAAGTCTAAAGTTTGCACTACCGCGCACAAACTTTAGACAAAGAGTTCGTTTGGATTGACTTATTTTAAGTGCTTTTAAGCCTAAATACCGTTTAAGCCTTTTTGTAGTGTTTGAATAAAGTAAAAAAAAAATACTTTTAAGCACTTATTTTTAACCTAAAATGATTAAAAATAAAAATTCAAAAGTCGAATTCCTAACTTATGACTTATGTTTAAAAATCACTTAAAATAAGCCTATCCAAACGGGAACAGAATTTGTCTGAAGTCGCAAAAGTTGTAAAACTCATTAACTGATGCAACATATATGAAAGAAACCTGATTCACCATTGTTAAATTAAATTGGGTACAAGTTAATTTTTTTTCAAAAGTAGGTTCAGGTTAAATAGCAGGGTGCAAATAGAAATAGGGTATGGGGTGAAACTTTTACATTACGAGATCAACGCGGTGCCACTGTAAAAGTAACATATATTACAGTGAAGAGTTCGAAATTTCGAAACAGCTTCTCAGAGAAGGAAGAGATGGCGGGAAATGATTCTTAGAAGCAATTCCTAACATCTAATCCGCGACTTTGCATCTGAAAAATCTGAAGGAGGTTCGTTTTGCTCCCTCATTTCCTCCAATAGAACTCGTGTTAAATTCTTCAATTGATAATTCAACGAATTTTGAAAACTGAAAATTGATACAAACTGAAATTGATTTTGTAATCTAATATCTCGAAATTTTCAGAGCGAAGAATAATAAATCTGAAGAAACGAAGTCAAAAGCTTCAATTGGAGCTTGAAATTGCAAATGCTGAGTTCGAAGAGGCAAAACATCAGAAGGAGTTTGCTGAGCAAGAGCTCAAAGGCTACGAGGTTGAATTAGCCAGGAATGAATCTGCTATTCAAGCCCTAGAGGTTTTCAATTTCATTCGTATTTGAATTCGCTGATATTTACTGGTTAACTTTTTAAGCTAATAAAAAACATATTTAATTAGCTGAATTTTAACTCCAGAAAATTACTTTTCTCCTATTTCTAAAAGATCTGTTTCAATTTTTATGTTATAGGAAAGGATCGCTTTGATTTAAGATGAATTATCTGCTTATGGATCTGAAATAGAGGCACTTAAGGTAAAACATCTACTCGAAGTTATATTCTCCTTTAAGGCGCACGTTAGTTCTCTGCTAGCTTGTAATGATTGTTGATGTTTGTATTAGATTTGTATTTGTACTTAATTATATTTGTAAATCTGAACATCACTGCATTGGCTTGCTAACAATAACGCTGTTCCTTATACGAACTCACTACTGATGATATTCTGAACCGTGAATAGAACAAAGAGGCAGAAACTCTGGTAATGACATGCTTCGTTAAGTTAACCTCTCAAGTCTCAACTCTCTTTGTTCGATTACAATCACTTTGGCTAAGTAGAAACTGCATCTTTAACTAAGTTTAGAATGTCTTTGCAATTGTCTTTCTTATTGTATCTATCACTGCTTATGCAGAGATGGCTTCATTGAGAAAATGCTTGAACTCAACGCACAGATAAGGTACTGTTTGTTGAAGTAAGTTATCGGTAGTTTTCACTTCTATTAACATGGATGTCATCTTATTTTAGTTTTTATGTGATTCCATTATGTGGTATAGGATTTCCCCCCTGCAAAGTGCAAATATTAGGAGTTAATTTTTGTGTCCCCTTAATAGACAGTAATGTTTTACTATTGAAATGGCAGTATGAAGTCTGGCTATTTAGGTATTACCAGTAGATTTTAAAAAAAAAAAAAAATTATAGATAAGGTTTATAGCTCTTATATTGTAGTTTTTTCAAGTGGAGCCTTGGCGTAACTGGTAAAGTTGCTGCCATGTGACTAGGAGGTCACGGGTTCGGGCCGTAGAAACAGCCTATTGCAGAAATGCAGGGTAAGGCTACGTACAATAGACCTTTGTGGTCCGGCCCTTTCCCGGACCCGCGCATAGCGGGAGTTTAGTGCACCGCGCTGCCCTTTCATTCTGTAGTTTTTTCAGACATAGGACAGCTAAGTGCAGACTCAGAGATAAAACAGTCTCTAGTCAATCCAGGCTGATGTTAGAAGAGCTAACTCTTACTTGGCTGCTGCTAATATTTTAGGATCTAATTTGCATTTATACATGACATGGCCTAAGTAGTACAACGAACTTGGCATTGCTTTAATGGCTGATTCAGTTTGTAGTACTTGAAGTTTGAAGATGATATTGTTGTTTAGACATGCTTACAATCTTTGAGTATGTCATGATTACTAGCAACGCGTAATTATGCTTGGGGGGTGATCATAATTTGTGGCTTCTTTTTAAATGAGAAAGACGAACACTTTGACCTTCTGAATTAGAATCTACAGTTATCCAATGATTATGTGGTTTTTGTTTTGCTTTTCAAAATTAATTTGGTGATATTGTATAGTAACAGAAACAAAGAATTTTTTATTAAGCTGCCAGTCCTTTAGCCTATATCATATTTCTTGTTCAGTTCTGGCTCAGAAGTATGCAAATAATATAAATTGAACGTGATACAGCGGTCTTATCACTGGAACTAGTACATATTCCCTCCATTGGCACTCATGCACATTAGTTGTTCAACTGGCAAAGTGTAGACATGGAGATGCAGAGCAAATATTCTCCACTGTTGTGATAGTAATTTAAAACTCTGAGTTTCTAATTTGGCAGAAAAACCTGTTAATTGGTGCCAGTCTTGTTAGTATACTTCTTTTCTTGAGGGAACTGGATATCTCAAATTTAGTTATCAAAGTGACACGTTAGCTTGAGCACAGAAGATTTAGTGGCCAGATATAAATTTATCTGTTTTGCTCCAACTCCATAGCTCATTTCATTTGAATTTTGTGACTTCACCGTGTTGAGATTTAGCTGATCTGCTGTTAAATGGCTGAGCTTTCTTCTACTAAAGTGGAAGAAGGAAATTCCATGAGACAATAGTCTCTACATTCCAAAATGATAATTGCAGCGAGCCAGCATCAAAGCCTGGTGTGTTTAACGCACACAGATAAGCGCTCTTCTTTTTTTGATGTGTTGGGGAGTTTCTTCTATTATAAGGATGTTCAAATTTAATGATTTCAAAAATTCTATTGTTGCTTTTCTATACGATAGCTTTTTCAAGGGGATCAAGAATTTTTATACCTTCACTAGCAGGTTCTGCAAAAACCAAAGCAGAAGATGCTGAAGCTGTCAAAACTGACCTCCAGAATAAGCTGGCTCAGATAGTTCCCAGTTCACTAAGGAAGAAGAGGAATACCAAGTAGAACAGAATATTCATAGGCAGGCAAGTTATTACGCTTTTGTTGAGCCTAACTGCTCTCATTTCCTTTCTTCTGTTGCTGTATTGTCTGGTTATTAGTATTAGGAGAACTTAGTATGTTGAGCTGTGTGGTGTTTTTCAGCTTGAAGAGGAGTTGGGTGTTTCGGAGAGGAAAGCATCACTGATAGAGAGAATCACAAAAGAACATAAGGAAATGCAGGAGTTAGCCAGATATCCTTAAATCGTTATTGTTTGGACTCGTCTACATATAGCTAATTATTTACTAGTTCACCTCATTGGTGGAAGAGAATGAATTTGCAGTGGATCTCAAATTTTCATGACACGTTCCACGTTTGCTGTTACAGTCTCGTAATCTCCTATTGTATTACTGAGAAAACTCTTTCACACCTCAAAATGACACTTATGGAATGAGCACCCATGCTTTAGATTTGTCAACTATTTTTGTGTCCTTGACTGGAAGCAAGCAGACTTCTGAATTAGAAAACAGATGTGCTTCCCTTGGTGATGAGCTACAGAGGTCGGTATCTCCCAGTTGTCATAGGGACAATGCAGAGGCATTAGGTGAAATTCTTCAAGCAGGCGATGAATATTAGCTTCTTGTAAGTAGTCCCTGACATTAAGCTGATGACAGTCAAAAGGACCCTGAGGTGCTTACATTTCTGCTCTTATGTCTTCCACTGGCTTGGCTAAGCTTTGTTCTACTATAGAGAGGTCTAGTTTGCAAAATTGACACTCCTACTTTTCTACTCATTTCCCTAATACTTCCCAAAGAACAAATTTAATGAAAGCTGTAAAATAAAACATACTGTTACCATGAGGATAGTTGTATTTCTGCTCTTTCAGCAATCTTTTGCATTGGTAAAGAAGAAAGTTAAATGCACTTGCCTCTAATATCCTAATAAAAGGGTTGTCACCGCCCATGCTCTACCTCCCATTATTGTGGTGTTATGGGGGGCTTGAAAGTGAATCCACCAGAATGCTTTTTTGAAGGATTGGAAGCGATTGTTGTAAGAATATGAATTGTTTTGTTCAGCTGAATAGGAAGTAACCTATTGGATTTTCTGTTTGCACATATGTTGTTGATCCTTCTATATCCCTCACAATCAATGATAAGAGTGGAGATCTAGCATCTCTATTACCCTTGCCTTGTAGTTGGTTACCTGCCAGCATGTGCTCAACTTTAGAACTTTGTAAATTGACATTCAAAAAGTCATCCATAATCAGCTAAAGAGCCAAGAAACCACAGTGAACAATGAGTCAGATACTTACAGCTTTACTAGGAATTGTGGAGGGGACTGAAGGAGGAAATGAAACCAGACCTGAACGGGCACACTTTTGATCTTCAACATGTATAGAGAATAAAGCAGAGACCGGCCGATGGTCAGAGAACTTGCTTTCACTGCGGAAATAGGAAAGCTGTTTAACTCCCTTACCATACCATAGGATCCTATCGCACCTGCCATCAACATTCCAAATGTCATGATAGTAAGTATGAGCACATAGGGGCTAGCAATGACCATTACTTGGTCAGATTCCTATAGAATCTTTCTTTTGTTTAATTTAAACCATCAGTTTGGACAAAGGGACTAGACCTGAGGTTTTTTAATTTTCTGGGGGATAGCGACGAGTGCCTTTTCGCAAGGGGTGGGGATGTTTAACTGTCAAAAGTACTAGGAAAAAATGTCAAGTGATGACTGTACCATGCTGGAGTTCTTTGCTTCTCCCCAGCTCTGCTTGGAAGTCCACCAGAATAACGATTGCAATTGTAAGAAGAATATTTGTATGTGGGTGCAAACTCTATATTTCCCTCTTTCCAACCCTGAAACACTCCACCTTCTTCTAGTTCCTTCCGCAACTGGTCAAATTCTTGCAGGGCACTCCAATTGTGCTGCTTTATTAATTCCCTTGCTAAGTTGTCTTCCAAGTATAATCTGTAGTTGAGATCTCCAAACCAAAATATCTGGCTGTTCTACAAGAAAATACATCTTGTCATCTTAGGTGAAAACATGTCATCCTTTTGTTATGCAGTGGAGTTTCAATAATTATATAAAATCTGCTTAGCCTCTTACTTCTATATCTTTACTTTGAATCCAATTACTTTCCGACTATTATTATTGCCATTATCATTCTTGTAGTTTGATTCTGAAATCTGAAAGGAAATTCCTCTGCCTATGTTTTATATTGAACATAATAGGTTGAATCTATGTTACGAATGCGTTGACTAGTACTTTCATGTTAGCACAACTCTTGTATTTAGTCGGGTATGAGAAAGACTGACTTACTCGTGCCCTAAAATGGTGAGAGGAAGATTTTTACGTCTGTCTTCAGGCAGCCGGGGGAAAGATGTTCTCCTAAAAATTTCCGAGACTTGATGGTTCCTTTTCCCTTCATCACCTTTCTTTTCTCCGGAGGCTAAGTGAGCTGCCACAAAGCAAAAACTAGTTCCTCCTATAGACATGCTCACAGAGACTGATCCTTTGTTTCCCAAATAGCCCATAATGCCACAGGCTACTGACGAGACTTTCACCTCCGAGACACGATATTTCTTTAGCAATGCCCTTCTCATCCAGACACTAATGAAGACACCAACCATCTTCTTGCTCGCCATCAATTTGTACCTACCAACACGGTCTGAAAGCTCATATTTGGTTCTAGTCTGACCTCTTGCTGGACTTGATATTTCGTAGTCACTCCTTAGTCTCCTATCTGATTCAGCATCATATTGATAATTATCATTGGTGATTGGATTGATCATGGGTGTCAACCAGGCACCACCATACTTGCTATTTAGAGTTTTACCGATGAGCGAGTTCCAGTTAGTTGCTTCTGTTGGATCTTCTGCTCCAATTACTGTTTTAGTCTTTAGAGGTACTATTTCCTGGAAGCTACAAAAGCAAAAGCTTTCTTGAATGACCAATTCTTTAGTGTGATGAGTAAAGATTGTTGTATTTTGAATTTTATACATACCCAAGAACATAAATATCAGCTGGTTCTTTCAGATGGAGCCACTCAATCAAATCTAGAGCTAGACTTCCCACTGGAGATCTTCCTGCAACATTCCATGTACCAACAAAGATTCTACAGAGCAAATATCGAATTATTTCCCCAAAAATGTATTATTTTGTTAAGCTTTAAAGTCCATAACATGATATACAAACCGAAATGCTCACCTCAATTCATTGTTTCTAATGCATGGTTCCATGTCCAGTGACCTACCAACAAAACCATCCATGCACTCATCATCTTGTTCGTCGTTATCTGTGGAAACCAACCAAAAGAAATTTGAATACATAAAATGAATTAAACGAATAACATCAAGGCAAGACTCAATCAAGATTACCAAGAAATGAAATAAACCTGAAATTTCGCTTAAATGGGATGCATCAGCTTTGCTTCGTCTTTTGATAAACCACAACCGAATTGCTTTTCGTCTTGATTTTCGTTGCCTGTTACCCATGATTTGAAATAAAGTCCATTCCTCAAACTCAAAGAGATGACATCTCTTTCTTGTCAAGTTAGATAGCTGAAGAATATCCACATGGCTGGCTTTTAGGCTCTGGGTAAAGCTATTATTGTATTGGTCGCCTTGATAGAAGAAAATGTTATGGACTGGACGAAAAAGACAGCCCCAAGAAGGTCGAATACCACCTAATTCAAGCGATAATACCAAGACTTGAAGAGAAAGAACGAAATGTCAAAGGTGGTTGAGTTGCACATTTGAGAAGCTTCCCTAATAGTCTATTTTTATTTCACTGAGTAGCTCAACCAGGAAGAAATTAGAACAGAATATAGGCCGCACAAGGTTCTATCAGATTTACGATTATGTTGTACTTTACAAAAAGTTCATTTAAGTCTCGTGTGCAACTTTTTATCTGTGAGTAGAAGTTATCATACCACATGGCCAGATCAAACTGTCTAAGACGTGCATTTGTTAATTACTTTCAATCAAAACACGATACCTAACTAAACTAACCCTTTTTTACAACCGTACATATCTGCATCATTTGCGTGAGACGACTTATTAGAGCTGTCTATGACTTATCGTCTGCCAAGTCTCGAATTCATCGCGTCATAAAATATTTTTTCATTATGTTTCCTTTAGCAAAATTTCAGGTGCCAAATTTTGTATTTGTCAAGCTTCGCTACCAAAAACATGGATAGGTGAAGATAGCAGATATGCTGCAGTACCCTCTATGGTGGAACAATTTTAAATATATGTATATTTATATATATTAAGTATGTACCTGCTATAGCAAACTAGTAGGTGGCATATTAGTGTTCGACGTTTATTGATCTAAAATCTTAGAATCACCTCTGACCATTTGGCTCGTACTGTCATGAGCAGTAAGTCGGATTATCAGTAATTAAGCTGCAAGTATTGTTTAATTTATCGCATGGCCTCCATCATTAAAGCATAAAATGTGAATTATTATTGAGAGAAGGCCGTGAAACGCCCTATTACTTCAAGGTAGTAACTATCATAATAAATATTTCTTGTCCAAGGTGAACCATCCCAGCGTTTTAATTATCTACCAGTTGTATGGTCACAGATTCTTCATTCTTGGCGTGGAGTTTTCAAAACTTGTTTTTTTATACTAGTATGATTGATGGCATTTTTTTAGTCTTTCTTAATTCTTGGAGTTTTTAAAAGTTATTTTTTATACTGCAATATTTTAATATTCAAATATATATTTAGATTCAGATATCTTAATCTTAATATAAATAAATGAGTGTAGACTATTTAGATGGACTCAAGTACATTAACTAGTAAAATGGTCCACGGATCGGAGAACTAGAGTATCTGGATTGCTTAAAAAATGTGTGATTAACATTTAAAGACGACGGATTTCGACGTCCGACACATCAATAGTAGTAGCTTTCTCGGGTTGTGACATTCTACCAAAATTAATTATAACTTTGATGGGATTGAAGCCGGCCATTACGGAAACGTATAAGCCTTTCTTCATAGTGAGAGCTTCTTCACATATAAAATTTGGAGAATGGAGGGTAAATAACATTCAAAGTTTGTACTTGACTTGCTCCCTTTTTTTAAAGTTAGCAAAGAGAATATCGTACAAGCAAGTTAAGTGGAATTAATTAGAATTAAAATAGTGCAAATTGATCAGTGTAAGGATAAAGCAAGGAGGTCGTGAGGCAATGTGATTTTTCGTTTTAAGCTTATTCGTTTTGAACTTCGTGCAAATGGAAAGCTGGGCCTGCCACCGTAAAAAATGAAATGGAAAATAATATATTATAGTTGCTATTAAAATAATAGTTGGAAATATATATATATATAT